AAAAAAAAAAAAAAAAAAAAAACCCAACACAAACACAAACTTATTGTGTAATAAATGTTGAAGCATCAAGTCTGATTAAAAAAATTCTTTTTTTGAGTTGGAGTCTCACTGTCCCCCAGGCTGGAGTGCAGTGGCATGCCCACGCCCACCCCAGTGTTAACCTGCTGGGCTCAGGCGATCCTTCCACCTCCTCAGCCTTCCAAGTAGCTGGAACTACAGGCTCACTACCACGCCCGACTAGTTTTTTATTTATTTTATTTTAGAGACGATGTCTCATCAAGTTGCCCAGGCTGGACTCAAACCCGCGGGCTCAGGCAATCCCCTTATCTCGGCTTCCCAAAATGCTAGGATTACAGGCTGAGCCACTCAGCCCAGTCGATTTAAAATTATTTTAACCCTTAATTTTACTTTTAAGTTTTCTTGCTTTACTACTTTTCATTTAGCGTCAATAAGTTTATCTATAACAAATTCCATTTTAAATAAATTAACAAATTAAGTTGAATTAGAACTATATCATCTCATGATTAGAAGACCTCAAGGTCATTTAATCTAATCACTCTTCTGATGCTTGAGTCCTTTTTGGATAGTTTTAGAGACAGAGAACTCATCCTTTGCTGTACCACGTTTCAACAGAAAGTTCTCTCCCTATTACAAACTGAAAACTGCCTTACCATAGCTTTCATGCATAAATCTAAGTTAAGCATTTCTATCGCTTTTCATCAATTCCCTTACTTTGACCTCTACCTCCACATAGAACATCAGGTATACTGAAAATTTGTGCTTCTTAAACTTCTTCATTAGCCATCTTGAATTTTAGAAAGCAAATGAAGAGTTATAGAAATTCGAGGAAAACGGCTCCCTTTCCTGATATATAAGTTAAAATTAATTTTAATTACTGAATTACAGAGCAACAATGGTATTAAAAATGTGCCAAGATTTAGGAAAATATGTTGAGAAGGAAAAGGCAATATGGAAGGAGTATCTATTTTAAACAAATTATCTATATATTTAGTGGTCAAAATAAATTGATTTCATTTATTACATCATATATATATATATATTTTTTTTTTTTTTTTCTTTTTGAGCCAGAGTTTTACTCTGCCGCCCACGCTGAAGTGCAATGGCACACTCATGGCTAATACAGCGTCGACCTGCTGGGTGGGCTCAAGCAATACTTCTGCCTCAGTCTTCCAAGTAGCTAGGACTACAGGCATGTGCCATCACGCCCAGCTAATTTTTGATTTATTGTAGAGGCGAGGTCTTGTCAAGTTGTCAAGGCTGGTCTTGAACCCTTGGGCTCAGGCAATCTTCTAGCCTCAGCCTCATTAAATGCTGGGATTACAGGTGTGAGTCACTATGCCCAGCTACATGCCCATACTTAGTATCTTGGTTTTAAAACAACTGACTATTGAAATCTAGATGGATTTCTAGTACTTCTTAAAATTTGGACTTTAATATTAATTACAGCCAGGAAAGTCCATTAAACATAAATCTGAAAACTTGTTCTTGATTCATGAGTTAGTGATGCCCATAGCCCATACCGTGTGGCATTTTAAAGTACAAATTTAAGTACCAATAAAATAAGACTTCATAGTATTAGAATCTTTATTTGATTTACAACTGAAAAGGAATAGAAGCTGGAGGATTTTTTTTTTATATTAAGCCCACTTTTCAAGTTGTAAATACATGTCTTTGACAATTATTGTGAAGACCAACCCTATGCTACCTACAGCAAAAAAAAAAAAAATTGAATATGCAATAACCAAAGTAATATAACTCTTATTTACAAGTCTGTCTCTAGTATTTAACCTTCAAGGACATTATTTGTGTCAATTTCATCTTTGTATATGCAGTACCCAGCAAATGGCCTGAATACAGCAAGTGAATGCTGCTCAATGACCATTTGGTGGACTTTTATTATTCTTGAAATAATAAAACTTTTCTACTTCAAACTTCCTCCTGATGACAATAAGAATTTTGCACATTAAGAAAATATTTTTAATGAAAATTTTCTGTAAGTAACAATTGAACGAAAATCTCTTTTTGTACCTTTGTGATATCCATCTCCTGAGAAGTAAGCTGGTTTTGAATGTCCTCTAGTTGATTAATGGCTGAAGTCTTCTCCCTTGTAACCTTTTCCACCTGGGCCTCCAGTTGGGCAATAGTCTGAGACAGGATTAACATCTGTAAGAGAAAATCAAAGTCCTAAACAATAATGTTATTTGGTAAAATAAATAGTAAAACTTTCTTGAATTAGTAGGGCCTCAGCATAGTTACTGGGCTGTATCTGTAAGTAATTTTTCTGTGGACACAGTATGTCTATCCATTTCTCTACTTCCTCTACTCATCTATGCCCCATGACTTGAAATATGTACTTCCCTCCTACACTTTTCCCTCATCTCTAACTAAATGTATGATAAGATGATAAAATAAAAGTATTAGTTAAAATCTTAAAATGACAGATACCAGACACACCAGCAAGTTATAGAACAGACTGCCATAGATAAGTTTCAGAGGAGGTGTGGAGGCATCAGACAACTCTTAAGCCCTTCTCACACATGGAGGGCCTAAAAGGACTGGTTGTGAGAATTAGAGAGGAAGATATTTTTAGAGAGAGCTACTGGTCTGCTATGACTCCCAATACTCATCCCCCAACTTAACAAAGAGGAGGCTCTGGGCAGCTCTCTTCACTGGTAAAATCCCCATGTACCCTCCTAATATCTAGCTATTTTTCAGCTCAGCCATGATCTCCTCTCCTCCAGGAAGTCTTCCTTGACCTCCATTTCCTAGCACAAAATAGGTGCTCCTTTACATGTTCAGGACTGACATTCAGCTAGTGTGCACTGGGACAGTCATGCCTGTTTTCTGTGGCCCGCATCCATTTTCATTGATTGTTGCCCACACTGTCTTGGTTGTTTAATATTTTGAATATCATTCTGGCATGTGGTCCTACAACAACCTTAGTATATAAAACTTTATCACATCCCAACCTCCGTATGTCTCCTTCACAGTGTTTATCCCACTGCTTTTAGTAGTCTCTTTATTTCCTCATTAGGCTAAAAGTTCCCCAAGGGTATATTCATCAAGAGGTACCAAATGTTTCCTGAATGGTTGAATAATTAGAATAAATGACTTTTCTCAGGGACTCTACGGATATCAGGTTCTTAGTTTTTCTTCCCAGGATTAGAAATGCTTTCTAGATTTTAGACTTATCCCTTATAGTTTTTTATTTGCAATTGTGTTGTTCTGCTCCAGGAACTCAAACTTTTCTAGCCTCTTAATTTTTTGCTAGTTTTAGCAGTTTAAAAAATGTAAAAGAATCAGGCTGGGCACAATGGTTCACACCTGTAATTTCAGCACTTTGGGAGACCGAGGTGAGAAGATTACTGGATAACATAGTCAGATCTCACTGAAAGCAGCCTGGGCAAAATGGCAAGATCTCATCTCTACAGAAAATTAAAGAATTGGCCAGACATGGTGGCATGTGCCGATAGTCCCAGCTACTCAGGAGGTTGAGACTGGAGAATCAATTGAGCCTAGGAGTTTGAGGCTACAGTGAGCTGTGATCATGCCACTGTATTCCAGCCTGGGCACCCAAGGCCCTGGCTCAAAAAATAAAAAGAAGAAAAGAAAAGAAAAACTGTAGAAGAAGCAAAACATACAAGAATACCCATTAATTTTTATCTGTTAAAACAAAAACTGGTAACAAGTTTCAAATGATAATATTTGAAATTTACCACTGTATACTGACATGAGTGTGAACTCAGTTTTATTACCGAAATCAATAACTAAAACTTTATGATAAAAATCAACATTGAACCTACGTTTCAGTAAATTAAGTCTTACATCAATACAACTAAGATAGGTGTCTGCCTTTGAGCTACAGAACTAGCTGAAGTTGACCCTTATGAAAATAACGAGCCTGATAGCTATTTTCTAATTAGGCAGATTTCTGAAGATTGTGGATGATTGTATATTTGACTTATGGCTGTTTGCATGTCCTTATCATCAAAAGATTGTCTACAAACCTAATTTGCACATAAAATTAGTTTTACTAACAATAAACTACAAAGCATCCTTGTGCACATTACAATCTGAACCTAAAACTAATGGTCAAAAGAAGTTAAATATAACGAAATAAAATATCAATTTAATTTTCTTAATTTAAAATTGGAGTTCATGAACATACATATTATGAGTACATAATTATAGCTTTTCTGGAATCACACAACAGCAACAAACTTTAATTACTGCCTATTAAAACTCATATATTACTTATTTATATGACAATATATCTGCTGGTAAACATACTAACATTGTGTAGTTTTTGAAGTAAATATGCCGACATTTATTTTGCTAATTGTAAATTCTAGTCCATTTCTACAAAATAAGGCATGTAACAAATCTCCCCCCTTCATTATGATTCCCTCACTCTGCCACCCATCATTTCCTTCCCTTGCCCACTACCTGTCTGCTACCTCCTGTCACCCACTTTCTGAGGGCTCCCCTCCTGTTGTCACACCTTCTTTTTCCCTATGCCCACCATCTGGAAGTCAACATTACACTGCAGGGGCTTCTCCATCCACATCTGTTGCAGAGCCAGAAGTAACACAGACACAGCTGCAACACTGCTGGATGTCCAGGACGTTGACATCAGGTAAGTCCTTTAAACTTTGACAGGGGAAAGGAAGAGACAAGGACACCCAGGTTGGAAGAGTTTGATAGAAATTTCTGCAGGGCAGTCCCTAGTGTACTAAACATGGTATGAAGCAGTACCTCTTACAAAAGAGTTACAAGAATTGAGAATTCTAACAATGGGCTATTGTCAAGAAAAACAACCGAGAAATAGTGTGAACCATAGGGGTTGCTCAACAAATATGTGATGAATGACCGATTGAACTAACAAACCTGAGTGCTCAGTGCAACCAAGGACCTTTACTGAAGACAACAAACAAACTCACAGCAAGTACTGCTCATGGGGAATAATTCAAACCTGTCTAGGTAGAAGGCATCTGTTCTCCCACAGCTTCCCGCACAAACAGAAGCTTTGGGAAAAGAAAGGAAGGAAAGGAGGAAAAAATAACATAAAAAGAAAGAAGGAAGTTCTATAACTCTCACACATTTTCCTACTGTTAGAAAGGCAGGGATGCTTGCTCTAGCACTAACTTTAACTACCTAGCACTTACAGTGTTGTGATTAATTGGGCAGTCTCCCTACTAGATTATGGTCTTGTGCTTGGCAATGTGATATGCATTCTCTCTTTAAATCCTGTAGAGAAGGAATTACGTTGAATTAATTTTCAGTTAAAAAATGAGATTCAGAAAACTAAGTAACTTGCCCAAGTTTACTCAAGCTAATATATCAAAGGTAAAGCTGGGCTTTATATTCAAGTCCATCTGCTTTTACCAACATGAAGTTCCAAGAAATACATGCAATAATGGTATTTCTTTCTTTCTCTAAAATAAAAATAGTAGTAGGCCAGATATGGTAGCTCACAACCGTAATCCCAGCACTCAGGGAGTCCAGATCTGATAGACTGCTTGAGTCCATTTGAGACCAGCCTGGACAACATAGCAAAACCTCATCTCTACACAAAAGAACAACAACAACAACAAAAATTAGCCAGGTATGGTGGTGTACACCTGTAATCCCAGCTATTTGGTATGCTGAAGTCGAAGAATTGCCTGAGCCCATGAACTATGACTATCATGATCATGCCACTGCACTCCAGCCTGGGTGACAGAGTGAGACCCCGACTAAAAATAAAATAAATAATAAGATTAATAACAACCACAAGTTAAAATTTATTAAATGCCCACAGTAAGTTAGGCATTATATTAGACCCTTGCAAAACATTATCTCATTTAATCCAATCAATTCCTTGAAGTATTATCAAATTTTTATTTATCATTCTAAAACAGAGAGAAGTTAAATACATTATTCAAGGTCAAAGAAAGGTTAAGTTGGATTCAACCCTAAACCCTTGTACTTTAAAGCCACTTTCTGCTGTTTCCTGATGAGAGCACTTGCCTCAGTGCTAGGTCCACTGTCAGCTCTGTATTCATACATCTTTATTTAGGACAGGACCTTGAGATCAAATGTCAGCCAAGGCTTACTGGGGGTAAAATTAACTTAAATGACGCCAGCTCAGAAATGCACTATAATTCTGTCGCCACCTTTATACATGAAATAACTCAGTGTAAGAGAGAGGTCCAGTTACATACGAAAGTACTTGGAATACCGCCAGGCACATTTCAGCCTTCCTTTCTCATTTCTTATCAGGAATTCTCATCAACATACTTTTATATAATAGAACTACTCAGCTAGGTAAATGGTTTCCACTAAACACACCAAAAAAATAAAAATTTCCTGGGTGTGAACAATAACCAATCTTTGCTATGGATACCATTCTTTGTTACACAAAAACCTCAATTTACAACTTTACCTACCTAGATGCCTTATTCATGTTTGGTTATAGGCAGCATTCCTTCCCCCATACTCTGTGTTTTTAAATCCCACCCATTCTTGGAAGCTCGATTAAAATATCGTATTTTCCACAAAGCCTTCCATAATCTTTTGCAGAGAATCGGTTCAATCATCTGAGCCCTCAGCATTTTAGTCATACCTTTCCAAGGCACAGGATCTTTTTTTCTTTTTTGTGTATATCATTCCTTAATTCATCAAATATGTATTGAGCACATTTTATGTGAGAGGAGTGTGCCAAGCACTGAGGATGTTAACAGACCGTACACACAAGGGACTCACAGTCAATCAGGGGAGGCAAGTTATTCAACAAAAATTTACAATAAATTGAGTTATAGAAGCCTATGGGAGAGAACCCCATTCAGCTGTGGGAGCCTCTGAGAGGAGATGGTATCAAGAAGAACCCAGAAGAATCACTTAATAAGGACAGAGGAAGATTCCTCAAAGCAGAAGACAAAGCATATGCAAAATCCTGAAATAAAAAAACAGCATAGCAGATTGGCATGCTTGCATATTTGGGGAAGTCCAAGTAGGTCAGTAAGGCTGGGGTGCAAGAAAGAAAAATGAAGGAAGATGAGACTGGAGAAGAAGAGTGGAGGAAGAACACTATAGTGTCTATATGCTATGCTAACGGATACTACAGTTTATTCAAGGTTGTAGGAAGACATAGAATGATTTTAAAGCAAGAGACTGACACATTGGGATGTTCATTTTAGAAAGATCATCTCGACTGTGGTTTACAGAGCAGATGGGAAGGAGGTGAGACTGGAGGCAAGGACACCACAGGAGCTGTGGGAACCATCCAAGAATGAGTTATGGGCAGCGGATGGAGACAGGGCAATGTAAAATGCCTATGAGCCTAAATCTCTGGAATATGGAGATATGTGGGATAAGGGAGGAGGAAACAAGGATGACAATATTTCTGCACTGGGCAGCTGGATGAATGGGGGTCCATTGGGATAGGGAAGACAGAGAGTAAAACTGGTTTGGGAGCTCAGTAGACAGTTAAAGATTTCAGAATCACACCCATATATATGGAACTGAAGCCACAGTAATGCCAAAGACACCTAGATCTATAGCTCTGTGCTAAACTCCAGAACCTTCTATCAAGCTGCTTTCTGGATGTGTCTCCTTCATTGTTTCAAAGGCACTTTAAAAACTCAGAGTAACATAAAACACACACATCATCATTCTCCCAAATCAAGAATATGGATTCAGAGAAATCAAGAAGAGAGAACCTTTTAGGAGAAATAAGAACAACAACAAAAAAAATTAAAATAGTACAAGCAGGTCTTCAATGAACACAGCAATGGTACTTTCATTGGCTTGGGCACAGAAGTTGAAATGTAGTCGGCTGAAGAGCAAGCAGGAGGTGACAAAACAAAGACAACATGTGTGACCAAGCCATTCAGGAAACTTGACTATTAGGAGAAAGAATAGGAAGGAATATGAGATTACTGAAATGGTTTCCAACTTTGACTTAACATTGGAAGCACCTGGGCAACTTTAAAAATACTGACACCTGAATTGTACTCTTGACTATTTTGATGTAATTGGTTTGGGGTGTAGTTTGAGCAATGAGATTTTTAGAACTTCTTGTGTAGCAAAGATTGAGAACTGCTAGATTAGACGAAAGAGTGTTTCTTTCAACATGTGAAATAAATTTGAGAGTATTTTCCTGATGATAAGAAAGAGGCTGAAGTGAGAGAAAGGTTGAAATTCAGAAAAGAAGGGGAAACAAATAAAACAGACTTCTGGAGGTAGTAAAAGGAGACAGGATCCATAGGGAAGAGAAAGGATTAGGGTTAAGCTTTTCCCGCTGGGCTGGGATGCAGGTGAAGGTTATTTTATTTATTTATTTATTTATTTATTTATTTTTATTTTTTTTTTTTTTTGAGCTGGAGTCTCACTCTGTCACCCAGACTGGAGTGCAGTAGCCGCTCCTGGCCACC